TATCTATCTATCTATCTATCTATCTATCTATCTATCTATCTATCTGTTTGTCTATCTATCTATCTATCTGTTTGTCTATCTATCTATCTATCTATCTGTTTGTCTATCTATCTATCTATCTATCTATCCATTTCCTTAAATGTAAACATACTGGTATCATTGAGACTCCAGACCTTCTTTCCTCCTTCCCAGTTGTGCCAGTCTGCCCCCTTATGGATGTAGATGATAAAGCAGCCTATGAAAAATTCTCCTCTTCTTCTGCCAGAATCTGAAGCTACAACTATGGATTATATTTCACAAACCAATAACAGAGAATCGGCTACGTGCACACACTCAGGTACATCCACAGTCCAACCTGAGCGCATGACTGTTCATGTTATCTGTTATTCAGATGAGATGTTGGAAACGTGTGGGGGAGTTGTGAGCACTTCAGTGTGTCTGCTCCGTCCTCCCACTCAGTGAGCAGTGTGAGCTAGACGCAGAGCATTCAGTCTATTTCAGTTTCCTAGATATGTGAGGTCTTTTCCTCGGTTGTCCCTTAAGACCAAGGTGACTTATCTACTCTTGTAGACAATCTGACTGTGGCAGGAAGCGATGATAGAACAATCTGACCCTCATGGTGGAAAAACACAGGTCAGTCACGTGCAATCACTGTCACTCACTCTCAAGGACGGGCATCATTCACGTGCAGAGTTAGCTTTGTTTGATAGTTTGTTTTGATTCTAATGATCTGCCTTATCTTATTCCTACCATAAAGTGTGAAAACAATAAATGATAAAAGCTTAATGATCAAAGTCCAAAAACAACATCCTCTTGACAGACAGCAGTTATCTTTGAATAATGTTGAAAGACAAAGTTCAAGATTTTTTTGCTGACCAAACAAATGTTGCATTAGTTTGTCTCCAAGCACCGACCGTGGGACCCCAGCTCCTCTATAAATATGTAGGATCATAGTGTAAATATGTACTTTCATATTTAAAAAAACAAATCCCTAAAGAATAGCTGTGGTCTCCTATTAACCACACCAGCAGTGTGACTGTGAGGCCTGAACCATCCCTTAGTTATGCTGCTTTTGACCTAGACTGCTGGGGTAAACTCCCATCATGCACTGAGCACATCTCTCTCCCACTGCCCCCCACCCCCCGTGCATTTTTATCATTATTACTACATTTGTGTTTTCTTTCCCATAGTTTGAGACCCTCGCCCCTTCTCTCCTGAATCTGCAACCATATCTGACTCAAGAGCTGCAGGATCCAGATCTGAAAATACTTTATAATGATTATCATTTGTATTATTATTATTATTGTTGCTATCATTTATAACTTTCTATAAATATCATTCTCATCATTCCATTATGTTTGCTTGTTGTGGGAACTTTTGGTTTTCTCCATTTACTATTTAAAGTGCCTTGCCATAATATTTTGTGATTTGGGACTATAGTGTTTTGGATGAAAGTGGGGATCTATCGCATCGAAGAATAAATTAAATTTTGCTGCAATGGTCCAAGTGTTTTGATGTAGTTTTATTGTTTTATTTGAGTTGCCAGTTATCAACGAAACATTTGGCAAGTTTCTTATCATAATTCTTTATCACAAGACAGGAAACCCAATAGTACCTCCTTCTTTGCAGGGTATATAAGGCATGGGGGGAAGAGCTGATGCAGAAGAACAGAAAAAATTAAAAGATGGCTACCTTAATGATTGTGTTGGGTTTATCACTCTTCACCTTGTGTGTGGCTGAGGTCCTGCAGCTGGATCGACAAGCAGAAGACACCAGCAGCCCCCAGAGTCCCAGCATCGAACCTGCTTGTCACTGCGGGAGCCAGAGATTGAATAACTATCTTCTTAATGCCTTGAGAGGATTGGAGGCCAAGCAGAGAAACACTGAAAAAAAGTTAGAGGATCTGAGGAGGGAGGTCCAAAGTAAGAGCGTTCAGTAGGTTTTTATTCTGAATAAAAACATGCGTCAGAATATGTTGTTATATTGCTCTGTTTTCTTTTTCCTCTCAAGGTAACAGGGTGGCATTCGGAGCAGCAATGGGCAATGTTGGAAATCTTGGACCTTACAACAGTGAGATCACACTGACCTACAGAGTTGTCTACTCAAACACGGGCTCATACAACCCTTCAACAGGTAAACTTAGTTATTTGAGTTCATTTTGTAAATAATTAACTGTATATGTTATTTGTCTGTTTGATTGTTTGTTGGTTTGTTTGCAAATGAGCATGATGATACAAAACCAACCAATCCAATTCCCATTAAAATTGGTGGAAAGATGCGTAAAACAGATTCTGTAGTTGCAGTTGAATAACTTGTTGAGTAACTGTCTCTCTGTTAATCATCCTCAGGTATTTTCATTGCCCCAGTCCGAGGAATTTATTACTTCAGTTTCTCTGGTCATAATTTATCAGCTAGGCAAATGGGGCTGCGACTCATGAAGAATGGAGAACAGATCGCTACCGTGTTCAATCATCTGCAGGGAAGACGCTATGAGACGGCAACTAACGGCATGACTGTACATCTTAATGTGGGAGACCAAGTGTACATGAGGCTCCGGGAAAGTACATGGATTTTTGATAATCTTAATAACCACTCCACCTTCGTTGGACATTTGTTATTTGCTTTGTGAGAAAAATAAACTTCAGATAAGTCGAGAAGAGAAGAGGGTCAGTGAGGACAACGATCTTCAGCCGCAGGACAGCAGTACATTGATACTTCTATTAGTAATGTTGAATGAAAAAAGTGTTTAGAGCTGACCTGAAACTTGAATGAATGAAAACACTGTATAATCATAAATCAGGTTAAACAGGATCCTGATCAATATTTTGCTAATTGAAAGTTGTACATTCATTGATTTTATGTTTCTCTTTGTAAGCTATTTTGTATTAATAAACACATATTAAAGAATGAAAATCTAATTTCCTTTTTTTACATGTAATATGGATAAACCAGCACATCAAGGCAAATGCAAAAACCCCTGTTCACATTTTTTGTCTGTTAAAAATGTTGTTGGATAATGTAAGTACACAAGTTATGGACATTTTAATCATAGGCCTAAGCATTTGCAGTCATTGTAATGAAGAATTGTAAATAAATAATTTTAAAGAAATTAGACTTCTCAGATACAGTAAGACAACTGTCTCAGCCCGTCTGCCCAAACAACTCACAGACAAACAGTAACAACTACAGTTGAGCATCATATGATCCAGCCGCTTCACTCAAACCAGATCACGCCTTACTTTGATATTATTTATTGAAGAGCATGAGACTCTGCTCGGGCTGAAACACAGAAAAGGTCTCGGACCACGGCAGGACTGGGGTCATGTCCTGGTTCAGGGACACGTGAGGCTGTGAAACTACAGGATATATTACAGCATGGTAGAGAGGAACTGCAGATCTATTTCAACATCTCATAGATGGGAGGTGAAGTTCCACACACAACACAGGAAGTGCCCTGACATCCACCCTTCCCTTTTCCCCATATAAACCCAGTGCAACAGCTGTGGTTGACAGAATCTCATGCAATGAAATGCTGATGCAGCGTGTTGTGGCTTTAGGTTAAATGCTGCAGCGGATAAACTGAACGGAAAACTGTTCATAACTTACTTGTATTGCTATTCAGTGCCAGTGCTGTGCTGGGAACGCTTGTGACAATGAACAGTAGAGTTTGTGTAATAAGATGCAGGCAGAAGATGTTAAATTTCAGGCAAACCTCCAACTGTGAGATGAAGGGAAAACTGAAAATGTAATATTAGAATTATATGATTTCTACGTGGGTAAAAAGGTAATACCAAACCCTGGGAGCAAATGGAAGGAAAGCAGCTCTCATGTGTACTCTATTTCCATAATGTTATAAAAGACTTTATAAAACATCTCACATGTGGATTGATTTATCTAGCTTTGATCTATGCAGATGTGGAGGAGAAATACAGTTGTTCCATAGGGGTGGGGGTCCCCTGATGGGTCCCAAGTCACAGGAGAAGGGTCGCTAGATGATTTCCAGAAAGCAAATACAATCTAAAAACAGTCCAAAGTGGCATAATTGAACCATAATTGTTACAACAGCTAAAAACATTTTACTTTCTTTGTGTCCATGTGACAGAATCGGCTAAAGCGGGTCAGCGTACAGCACCACAGGACACAGTGCAACATATGCACGTAGGGGAATATTTTTGGCAACTCGCTCAAATCAATATCCTTTGGGATAATGGGTGTTGCAAATGTCTGACACTGTTATTCTAGAGGTCATGTGCTGGAAGGTTTGGGAACCGCCTCTGTAGATGACTGCTGTAATTGTCACAAAGGGAATGAGAACTCTTTACTCACCGTTTGTTCACATTTCACATTGCACCCATTACTTTCTACACATGTTCATTTTACTGTCATTTACCATTACTTTGGTAACATTGCATCACAGACTACTCCAGGTTTGTTTGTGTTGGTCATGTCATGTTTCACATGAAAGTACATGAGTATATTAAAGTTTAGTTACCTTCATCATGTTGCAGGTTAAAACTTTGTGTAATTGTTCCACGGTTCAGTCACCATGTGTTTCATTAATGGCACCGTCCAGCATTTCCTGATCTTTATGCTCTTGGTGATGTCATGGATGACATCACTGGGACAAACCAAGTGAGAGGGTTTTATATTTTACAGGAAAGTTAGTTTAATGTATGTCCTTTTTAAAAAGACATCTATTAATGTGATTAAGCTTCTTTAGTGGAAAAATAAGGTTAGCAGACTGTGTGTGCAGGAAAAATACTGTGCCTGGTTACCTGCTCATCGTGGTTCTGGCTAAAGTTGGGAATTGAACACCTTATATGAGCAGCTGAATCGAGTTGGGACGGGAGAAATCGGAGGAGAAAATTGAGTTGTTACTATTACAGGCCTTACATGCCTTGAGTTGTATAGGTTGATTGTCATTTTTCTTGTTACTTGGAGAACCTACCTCTCTGCTGATCTGCCTGCCCACCATCCTTTTTTCGACCCTCCAGCTAAACTGTCTCACAGGAAATTTTATGGATTCACTTGGGAAACTCCACAATGGTGATGTCGGCCCACACCTCCCACATCACATGAATAAAACCGTGCAGATGTGGAACCAATGAGCGTCATTGCCTGATGGCAATGTAGAGAATTACATGGAGATGATGTAATACCGCCACTAACATGCATCTTTGTAAACTCAGCCCCGCAGTCAGACAACATTACTTCATTGGGATCATCATTGGTATTTTTACAGAAAATGTTTTGTTAATACTGATGCAACGGCGGGTAAGCATCTTTTCACTGTTGTAAGAGAAGCTGGGTTCATTGGCGGCATTGACTCAGGTGGGTTGTCCACTAACAAGACGGTAGGCGGTTCAAAACACTGAACTCCAAGTGGCCCCTGTGCCAAAAAAAAGTGTGGCACATATTATGAATGTGAGTGAATGTTAAAAACAGGAAAAACTTTCTTTCTTATCAGATAAACAAGAACTTTGAGTTTTGAATTACTGCGCAGTGTGGAGTTGTAGATGAGACAACTTTGCAGTGACAGTTGCAGCCATTTATAACGACAACAAAGTGAGCATTGATAAGACTTCACATGGGACTTGAATAGTGAAAGCGGGCGTTGGATTGAATCTGCTACGCTGATCTTGAATGTCATTGCTCATTGGCCGGTTCGAGGAACAGCTCACCAAATGGCAGCCTACAGTACGTATGGCCGCCTGAACTTGGCCACAGACACAGAACCCCCCTCTGTCCTCCGGTCTGCAGGCGAGAAAACATGTGGCGAGAAGTAACTAAACACACTTACTGGAAACCCGACTCACTGACTAAACAACTGGACTGAGGCATTTTGTTTTCAAATGGCTGTGATCACTGACTTTATAGGAGACCAGTCATGTGTCATACAAGAAGCAAACATTCATTTTTGAATACAAGCGTCAAATGTGGCATCTATTGCAACATCTGTTAAAATGACCAACCTATTAACTGACAGTTATTATTTTCATTAGATGCATTTATTTTTCTATATGCTTTGAAATGTTTAAGTTCCCAGAGCCCTGGCTGACGTCTTTAAATCAGTTGGCTTATGCGATCTACTCTTTAAAACTTAAAACACTTTCCTTTGTCATAGAGATTGCTGAAATTGGAAATGCTATTTGTCAAATGAGGAACCCACAGAATTGAATATTGATGTGTCAGGGTGATTTGGGCTCATAAAGTTTGTTCTTTTTGGGCGAAATCTGTGACATTTCAGCTGCTTTTAGACATGCACTGACCTGAAATTTTACAGAGGTGCTTTATGTGAGAACGCAAATTTCCGAGTCAGTTGCTCTATATGTGGACATTTTCCAGAACCTTTCCCGCCAGCCCTCTAGTAAAGTGTCCGGAAAATGTCAGAGTGAGCCCATGTGACAACACAGTGGGAAAATGTCCAGAAAATTGACCTCGAGCAAACAAGTGGGCGTGGGGCCGACTCAAAACTGAAAAAAATAAAATAAAATAATATCTCAGGATGAATAAAAGGAGCCGAAGAAGATGTAAACTTGCTTTTGGTTATAAGGGCCTGTGCCAATGTGCTATAAACACAAATAAAGGATTCCCACAGCAGAAACCTTCTGCATGCCTGAATATGGCCTGCACAAACTCCTGCTGCCTTCTTCGTATGTAAAAGACAAAATGTCCAGACCCAATTGTTCATTTATTTTCTGGAGATCATGTCTGAAAACTGCTTTTTACTTCTTTAACATGCTATATCACCCTTTATATAGGTCACGGAGAAATGATTCTCATATTGTTTATAAGCTCCTCCAGCTCCACATTTATCTTATTCTATCCTCAATATAAAAATAACAGCATCATGGGTGATTATAACAGTTAAAGTTGAACGGCAAAACCGATTAGTCAGATTTTCACCAAAGTTAGCTTAAAACCTAGTCAACCTAGGTTTGGTTTCTGAGTTGTTGCCTAGATGTCATTACTTATCTGAATGAAAATGTACAAACTGTTCGGTTACCGGCAGAGTCAATCACAGCACACAGAGTTACATAAAATGCTTTTTGTATTACAAGTCTTTCAAACTGACAGGTCGATGGCAGAAGATTTGTCCAAAGGGAGAATTACAATTACGGTAATGTCAAAATGTCACATTTTTTAGAAAAGGAAAAAAAAAAGAAAAAAAGTCAAGGTAATACCGACAAACATGGCTTCAGAGAAACTAAATGTTCTTGTTGGACCAGTACCTCGAAGAAAAGGCCTGAATCTGACCCTGGAACAAGCAGGTCTGTTACAAGCATTGTAGCCTCCCGCCAGTAAAACAGGAGCGTCTTAGTTTTAACACCAAATGAAGCTAGAGATTATACCGAAAACTGCTAGAAAAGAAAGTTCTGATTGCCATCGAGACGCACTGCAGAGGAAGGTTAGGGCTCATCTGTTGGCACCGTCACGGGAGATTTCTTGGGGAAGGCACTTGACATGGGGGTCTTGGCGTTTCCCCCCATGCAGCAATAGCGATGCACTAAGGTCCTCGTTTGTGCAGCTAAGTGCAAGTTCCATGATAAATCCACCAAAGCAGGGGGGGGGGGGGACTAAGATATGTAGGCGTTACACAACTCCACCACAATCCACAGCTTCAAAATACAGCATCTTAGTGGGAGGGTCTGCACCTGTAGATTGGATTTGAGAGATTTTAAATATGACTAAAAACAGGGTGTAATAACCCTTCACCATCATCATCATCGTCACCCAGCTCCAAGATGAAGATGAAACAGTACAACTCAACCGATAAAACCACGAACAGAAGAAAAGAGAGAAACTGAAAACACGTGTCTCTTAGGTTTCACAATAAGACATTCCCATTGAGGCACATTTCCAGAGAAGTGTCATATACAAAGCTATAAAAAGAAAAAATCCCAAAAACATTCAAGTACTTTGTCATGTAAACACTTTTCCAGACTATGATACATCTTGGATTGTTGTCGTCGTCGTTAGATTTCTTTTAGGTTTGTGTGCAACAATAAGACAACAGTGTGAGGAGAGGGACAAGTCAGGACCTCAGCTTTCTGTCTGTTTGTTGATTTGTTTTCAGAACAGGACACACGAGCAGCACTTGTCTCCACCACTGGGGACAGTTGAGTAGTTCATCTGTCGGACTATCTCTGCAAACAGTTCGTCCACCGAGCCTTTATTCTTGGCGGAGGTTTCCATGAAGGGGCAGCTCCAGTCCTGGGCCAGCGCCTTGCCCTCCCCGGAGCTCACCTCCCTCTCCCCCTCCAGGTCCACCTTGTTGCCCACCAGGATCATCGGCACCCGCTCGTACCGCTTCACCCGGATGATCTGGTCCCTCATCGGCTTGATGTCCTGGAAGCTCTGCTGGTTCACCAGGCTGTAGACCAGTATGAAGCCCTGGCCGTTCTTGATGTACAGGTCCCGCATGGAGGCGAACTGCTCGGTGCCCGCCGTGTCCAGGATCTCCAGCACCGACGGCGACGAGTCCACCTCGATCTCCTTCCGGTAGAAATCCTCTATCGTGGGGTCGTACTTCTCGATGAAGGAGCCCGTCACGAACTGGACGGTGAGCGCGGATTTGCCGACTCCGCCCGACCCCAGCACGACCACTTTGTACTCCCTCATGGCCGGGGAGGAGAGGAGGAGGAGGGGGGGGAGGAAGAAAAGCCAGACACCTCTTTTTTTTCCGCGACGATCGCCTCCTCTCTCTCTCTTTCTCTCTCTCTCTTTCCCACCCGCTGACCAGCCCCGATGTTTTCAAAGCGCGGAGGCCGGGGGAGGCTGCGCTCTCGCTCGGGGGAGAGGAGTCAAATCTCACGCCGGAGAATCCTGCTCCGGGCGGGCCTGCGCTGCGACGGCCGCGGGGCGCTGATCCGAGGAGAGCGGCCGCTCCTGGACATCAGCGTGGCGAACCGAGGCGCGTCTGGGTCGCGCTGTCGTGTCGTGCGTCGGTGCGACTGGGAAGCGCGATCGCTCCTGTGCTTCCTGCCCACATCCTCCGTGTGCGCGTCACACAAACTGCCGAGGCTCAGTTCCGCTTCCTTAAAGGAGCAGCACCAGAAAAACCTCAGGTTACTGATGTAACTCCGGTTCTCTGAGTAGCAGGCGTGAGATGCCTCGATATAGAAGAAGATCAGAGAACTGGGTCCAGAGTTTACACAGAGTGTTCCGCATTATTCAGGTGAGAGGTGCAGCAGCCGGGTGCAGCAGACAGAGGCAGGAAGTGACGTATTAACTCCGCTGCGGAGATCACGTGATTTTGTTTTCAACACACAGACACCTTCATCAGCATAAACTCTCTTGACGTCTTCATCAGCATGTTCTATATGTACGTCACCACATTTTTGCATCTGTGTTATAAACACCATCAGCCAGCAGGGGGAACTCCTGCTGTGTTCCCACAAGTCTACGGACTTTACACTAGAAGTTTGCAGATAACCTGCAGCGACACATGCAACTCCTCCACGGAAAATCAACTTTCTCCAAGGTTCATGTCTGAAAACGGTTTATGGGATACGCTCCCTCCAGTATTGATAGAGGGACTTGCAACAACACGCCAGCGCTGAGTGGCCGGCAGTTGAGATGTCTGTGTCAGGGTCGTGCACCTTTAATACGCCTGACTCAGCGTCACTCATCATTCAAACACCTTCCACAATCAGAGGCAAGCTACTCTGACGCTGGTCCAACTGCCTTCACCATAGGTGGCCCTTTCCAAGTGGCACAATATTTTGCTTCTAAACTAGCTAGCACGTTAACTTAGCACTCCAAGCAAGCTAACGGCACAGGGAGCCTACGGCCACCACACTGCATGCTCACCGTTAGTGAACAGGTTTATCACTCCCAACAATTCCCCAACAGGAAGCCAGTGGAGGTCACGGAGGAGGGGCGTCACATGGGAGAATTTGGGAAGATTGTAAATGAGACGTGCTGCAGCGTTCTGGATATGCTGCAACAGTTTGGTCGCAGAGGCTGGGAGTCCAGCTAAGAGCGAGTTGCAGTAATGAATGACTCACAGGTGAGAGATGACCAGCTGCATGATCGGGCCACAGCAGGGATGTTGGGGGCGCAGGACAGTCCAGTCCAATCGTCAAGCTAAATGGATTCAGTTGCCACGCTTGGATAGATGGGCCAAACACTGTAGGGATGGGCGTGTCTGCTGTGTGCGCCCCGGGCCATGTGACCTCTGACCTCACAAACTCACAGTCACTGCACTCAACCAGATCAAGGCTCTTGAGCTGCTCACTGTAATTATGAGTGGCCTTTAAATGAGCATGTTAAAGAGGTCATTCATTAAGTCGTTAACCAATTTACAAATGTCAGCTTTTCTACATTCACACACATCATGATAATAGTAATGATAATAATAATAATAATACACTTTATCTTTATAGCACCTTTCAAAGCAAAGTTACATGTTGCGTTAGAAGGTAAAAATGAAAACTTGAAGTCAGACAAAGCAAAAAAATTAAGAGGACTAGATTCAACCCCAGCTAACATTGGGCAAATACTTTGACTTCTTGAGTTAAATAAGCAATAATAGCATAAAAATGTAAGCAAGTAAAAGTTTAAAATGTGGGGTTCAGCATCTTGCCCTAGGACTGGAGGAGCCGGGATCGAAACATTGAATTTTTGGTTAATGGACAACCTGTTCCACACCCTGAGCCTATAATATCTCACATCCTTATTACTTATGTATGAATGCAGACACAGAATTTTTCTGTTGTATTTGTTGACAATGCATCATATTTTGGAAAAGCAGCACATTTCCTTAGACTGATCTAAAATGAATTTAGTTTCTGTCAGTTTTAACGTGACGTGCGATTTAACGTTGGTTCGCAGATTGGAATTAACTACCTGTGTGTATAAGAAAATGATACCATCTGAACTTCATACACTCTCTCCAAGAAATGAAAAATCTGATTTATTTGAAAGATTTTGTTGATGTACAAATAATAACTGGACCAGAATATGGGAAATTCTTGCATTTTAGGTTTTCCAGTTAATAAATAAATTTGAATTCAGGAAAATCTTAACTTTTAGACATTAACTGAATAATACTGAGTGTTTGTTTTCACCCACACATCAAGAATACACAGAAACAGTCAACTGTTGCATGAGCAAATCAAATATTGTTTTATTCAGATTTTTTTTTTCATCCATACAGCAAGAGTCAATTATGGCAACAATAAAATGTGCATAAACAAATCTGAAGACAGAATAGTACATTATTGTGTTGCAGTTGTTAGCAAATACATAATTGATGGTTGCACTTACAAGTAAAAAGCAGTCAAAGCGTACATGTGCCCCCAGCAGGGAAGAGAAACCTCTGTTCGATCCAGGAGACCTAACGTCTGATTTGGAGAAAATGGTGCTTTGGTTCTTTGGTGCCGACACAGCAGCCAACATTAGAAACATGCTCGGTGCTGACTGGTGACTCTTACATTCATCTGAAAGACTAATTGGCCAAATATGCATTTGGTGTGGTGAGCCTTCACCTGCTGAGTGCACAGATATGATAGCAGGAACAATTTCCTGTGAGTCAGTGTTGGCTGTAATTATATGGCTATGAGAAAGTATCTGGGGTGGATGAGTGCTAATATTTTATCATTCTTTAAATAACATGTTTACTTGGAAAAATATTCCATCACACAAGAGTAAGATGACTTGTTTTTGTAGTATTATTTCTCCCCACTGTGGATGTTATCTACTGTAAATAAACATATTACTGTGTATTCTGAATGTGTTATTTTTCCTTACATACTGTAACTACGCAGTTGCTTTTGTTTAAATGTTTGTACTTTTACATGCATTCAAATCAAACTATAATAGAATACATATCTCTGATAGTTTTATGTCAACTATACCATGGGAGCAGCAATACTGCATGACCAAGTCCAACAAATGATACATGGACATCATTGGATGCGTTATCCGATGAGAGGGGTGGAGTCTGCATGACATGGGGATGTCTGCTCCCCGACAACATTCCCTGGCAATACTAGCCACTGATAAAATAAGACAAAATGCGCATAGCTTTCTCTGAATGCATTGGCCAAGAAACTAGTGCCCTTCTTTGCAAGCAATTTTTTTAGCTGGTCTTCTAATTTAAGAATTTAAATTAATCTAACAAAATTCCTTATAATTATAGATATTTTTTATTCAAAATAATATCTCAATATGATACACATTTTTTTCTCTGTTCATTTGACTATATACAGAAGTGCAAAAAGTCAACCTTCGTCCCTTAGGTTAGAACTCATCGTCTGC